GCTCGAAGGAAACCAATGCCCAATCGAAGCTTGTGAACCAAGCTTGCTCGAAGGAAGCCAAATGCCCAATCGAAGCTTATGAACCAAGCTTGCTCGAAGGAAGCCAAATGCCTAATCGAAGCTTACCAAACTTGCTTGAAGGAAGCCAAATGCCCAATCGAAGCTTATGGGTTGAAGCAAACTTGCTCTTCTTTGATTTGATGCTTGAGAGCCCAATAAGATCCATGGAAACTACACGGGGCATTAAAAGTCCAATTGTACTTGTGCAAATTCAAACTCTAGTTTTGAGTCATCAATGTTTGAGAAGGTATCTTGAGTTGATCAAACATTGTGTAGTCTTGAATCAATAGAGATCTTGTGAGAAAATCTTTGAGAAATTGAGAGGGAAATTTTTTGGGTACAACAACACGAAACTAACAAAAATGTCTTAACCAATGATGATAAGATTCTAATTTTTTGTCTAATCAAAATAATTCTGATCAATCTTCCTCAAGTTATCCTAAATCATCTCAAAAGGTCCATCACTTCCTCCAGAAATTTAAACAAAACCTTAATCCCCTATGGAAGAATTCTGTCAGAAGTGTTTGTTCAAAATGAGATTGTAAGAATCCTTCGAAGAATTCCTGATTGTCCTAGTGATGCTCTGCATCAAGAGAAGTATGGGACGTTTGATGATTAGTGGTTCTCATAGGATTTTATTTTGTAATTTGTTTAAATTCTATCATAAATGCAACTATTTCTGATTAGCACCCATTGTCTCTTCTGTTAACTTTTAATGTTTTTCATGAAATTTTTTTTGATGATGTCAAAAAGGGGGAGAAGTATAATGATTTTGATGAACCTAAAGAGAAGCAAAAACAAACTCATCATAATAATAGAATGATATAAAATCTGCATTTACCACTAACGCACGTTTGTCTGATACTTAACCAAGGAACTCTGAACAAGTTCACTAGGCTTTCTAAAACAAGTCAAAATGAATGAAATATGTTTAATGTTTTAAAGATTGATTATTCATATAGTCGAAGATATATACTCTATATGTTCAAGAATCGGATAGACCCAATACTGTTCACAAGTTGAGAACTTTCTGAAAGTTAAAGTTATCTTGATTTCAGTATCATAATGCTCAGAAGATATAAAATGACTGAGAATATAATATTCAGAAAATATGAATCAAAAGTAGAAGCAGATGTTTTCCAGAAGAACAGAGAAAATCAAAAGTTGAAAACACTGAAATTCCTGAAATCAATACTCTCAAGATCTCAATATCTAATCTATTAGAACTAGGGGAGTTTTACTTAAATGGTTCAGATTCAGGATAATCGATCCTCATCAAGTCACTGACTCAGGGGGAGCTATCTAGCTCAAGGAAATTTAACTCTAAATATGTTTATACATTTATGCCATAAAAATTGTTTCATCAAAATACATGATTTTTGTCATCATCAAAAAGGGGGAGAATGTTAGAGCAAGAAAGCTTGTAAGAAATTCTTTGTTTTGATGATAACAACCATATATTTTGTGAGTAACAATTTTAGTGCTACTAGTGGTTTCATTGAGTGTGCATATCTAATAACAAGAAACATTCTATAAATGAGCATGCGTAAATATAGCTCAGAAAACTGAAGATACAAGAACCAAAAAGCTTCTACAACTGAAGTTGTCTTTCAAGATAAGCTGCTGCCTATACATCTGAAGACGTGATCGTCCATCAGAAAGATTCTAAGAGCTTGCGTAAATATAGCTCAGAAAGCTAAAGATACAAGAATCAGAAAGCTTCTACAACTGAAATTGTCTTTCATGAGAAGTTGCTGCCTATACATCTGAAGACGTGATCATCCACCATAAAGATTCTAAGAGCTTGCGTAAATATAACTTAGGAAGTTGAAGATACAAGAATCAACTAAAGTTGTCCTTCTGATAAGCTGATGCCTAAAGTTCTGAAAAAAAGACGTGTTCCTAAAGCTCAATCCAGTGTCTCTACGCTACATCAAATTAGTAGTTTCTAAACTACCCATCAGAAGAATAAGACAAGCAATAAGTCTCAAGCTCAGCACTTCAGAAACAGAAACAACATCTTCTGTAGAAATCAAGTTTTACAGAAACAAGTTAAACAAAGATTAGAAAAATCCAGATACATCTTCAGTAACGCTCTAATAAAAACTGACACATGATCACCGTTTTCGAGGAGAACAATGATGGAAAATTCTCAGCTATATCTTGGAAAAACAAAAAGAAGAAATCATGCCTCCTACATAGTAATCATTACAAAAGAAAATCTGCATTGAAAACATATCAAATTGTAATATACACGCTACAACACATATGTGCTCCAACGGTACTATTCTCTTAAGCCTATATAAAGCAACTTTGAATACATGTGGAAAGAGTGAAATATGGTGTGTACCTGAACAACACCAAAAATTTCACAAGCACAAAGTAAGATCACTTGAAATGCAATATTTACACTGAGTTGTTGCTCTATAGTGTAATATTTCATTAAGCATATCAAAGTACTAACTGTTTACTAAGAAGCAACATGTTCATCACAACTTAGTTCCAAAAAGGATTGTAAATCTTATAAGAAAACATCACACAAACAAAAAGAATGAAGGATCAACAAGTATAAGAAACATGAGTCGATACTCGTGTCTTGATCATTAAAGAAAAGAAGCTGAAGATCTCAATAAGATGTCATTCATAATATAAATCAAAACGCATCTCAAGAGAAACCAAAAAAGAAGAAAGAAGTTATTTGTTTAGCTTGATTAACCAAGAAGATGAAGATAAGAAGACTACAAGATGCTTTACTCTTAATCTCCATAACATTAAATCTTGTAGAAACATGCAAAACACAAGAGTTGTTGCTCTAATTGTGTTATCTCTTAGAAACCTTCATGTAAATTATTTTAGACAAGGAGTTGTTGCTCAAAAACTTGTCAAAACAATATGTACTATAATTAAGAGAAATCTGCTTGATAAGAAGCACTCTTGTAAATCTCCATAAAAACTATTCTTTCTAGAATTGGTGTTTCCTCAAGTGACTTTCTAGTCTGTATACTTGAGAGGGCTAAAAGGTCTTTCTAGACTCTTAGAGGTTGTTTCTAGAATCAGTGTTTCCTCAAGTGACTTTCTAGTCTGTATACTTGGGAGGACTAAGAGGTCTTCTAGATTCTTAGAGGTTGTTGTAATCTTTCAAGATTAGTGGATTAAGTCTTTTTCTAAGACAAAATCACCTGAGGATGGTGGACAAGATGTAGCCTTAGTTGAGAAGATGAACTTGTATAAAAATGAATGTTCTTTATTGCTATTAATTTCTACTTGCTTAAAGACTTCCGCAAACTTCATAGAAAGAGAAAAAGTTTCTATCAACACAATTTAAATCCTTCCTTTCTTGTGTTTTCCCCATCTTCAATTGGTATCAGAGCATGGCTCTGTTATTGATTCTTGAATCAAACACTTAACCGTGTAGAAAGATCTAGATAGAGAAAGCCACAAACATCATGAGAAAATAAATTATCTGAAGCAAGCTTCAGAAACTCTACATATTTGAAGCTAGCTATGTTCTGGAAAAAAGAAGAATTCTCTATAAAAGGTAGTTTCAGAAAAATTCCAAGAAGGGTTTTCAAGGAAGCAACATTCTTCGCTACGACGCAGCAGAATGTATCTGAAGAAAGAAAAAGTTAGAAGTTAACTTTTTGAAACTGGCCAAATTATTCAGAACCTCTAAAAATTAGCTCTAAAGAAAACATAAGACGAAAGAGGCTACTCAAAAGTTGATTCTAAGAGAAATCTAAAACTAAATACTGATGAAAATCTTCAAGAATGACAAGTTGATAAGAAGCTCTATCAAGGATAAGCCAAAGTTAAAACCAGAATGGAGAGCACTCGGATAAAAGAACCACTGTAACAATTTCAGAATCTCAAAGGTATGTTTTCTTTTATATATAACTTCTTAGAACTTCTGATAAAAATACATCTATAAGTTCGAAAATATTTTAAACAGAAGTATTTCAAATGTTAGTACAACTCCAAATTGTGAATTTTTTGGTTAAGTGAAAAACTTCATGATCTGGAACATTCTCGTTTACAAAAGAAAGATCTTTTAATCAATTCTCTAATAAAATGTGAACTCATAAGTTCTCTTGAGGATGAGCCAAATAATTTTGATGTATGTGATGATAGATTCTCATTCAAAGCGACTATGTTTAAGTTTCGCTATTTCTGTTCTGGTCTGCCACCTCATAAATGCTGATTCACTCAAAGTCTTTATTTAGAATCCGTATGGTACTCTATCTTTATAAATACTGATTCACTTCATCTCTTTTCTTCAAAAAAAAAAATTGTCCTGTGTCAGTGATCTATATCATTCGTGCATATTAGTCTTAACCTCTCTCACCCTTTTATATATATACATATCTCAACAATGATTTATCATATTTATATCATTCTCTCATAAACTAATTCCTATCAAGATTTTTATTTCCATCTGTTTCGTCATGCCTCAACCAATCTTTTTCGAAAATGAAGATCTTCTTGAAATCATCATCAAAAAATAAATTGAAATTTCCTCTCTTGACAGTAACATTGCTTCCAACATCTCAGATGTGTTTTATTCTCAGCAATGGACAAGATATCTCAATATGCTGAAGAAAGCTGTTTACGTGAATCTTGTTTAAGAATTCTGGAAGCATACCTATCTTAAATGTGAAAAAAGAAATTAAAATTTAACGTAATTCATTTTTATCTAATAAAGTGATTATAAGATGAAGAATGTCACTTTATAAACTCTTTAGAAGCTTTATATCTAATAAAAAAAAATGAAATTGAGATCTTACCGTCCTCACATATAACCTATTAAAATAAAGAATAACCACTATCAGATACTCTGCATGTGAAATCTCTTTCTCTATGATTCAAGTTCATTCTAACAACGAGAAAGAATGTTTTGTAGTGAGAGACACATAGTCGTCCGGTGATTTTGGCGCCTAAATGTCATGGAATCTCATCCCCTCAAACACCCTCCTCCGGTGACCGCCTTCTCTATCGCAGACTCACCTTCATCCATCATCAGTTATGAAATTCCACAAGCTTTTTTCGCCATCCTCCTTAATCGCGACATCTACTTCTGCTATCGTCCGTTAGGTTGCCTTCCGTCAAAGCCGTGTTCACCATCACTAGGTTTTTCTCATTTCACTTCTCCAATTAAACTCCATTCGACTAAAAAAAATGGAAGTTATTTTTGTCCATTGTTATAGGTACACTATTTTTGTGATTTATTTATATATCTGTTTTGATTTTGTGTTTGTTTTGGCGCTTGGTTGATTCAAGGTTTTGGTGAAAATATGTGGAAGAAATCAGAAGCAACTTGCACTTGGCTACAAAGTTCGAGAAATTTTCTTCATAGCACTCTAATTTGTTAATTGTGTCAAGGTAAATTTGGATGGTTATGAATTTGATTTTGCTCTAGGTATTTTTCTAGATATTTTGAAACTTTTGGTGTTAGTTTGTGCATTCTGTTAATTTTGAAATGTTAATGATGTAGCCACTGAAACCATGTTTGAGCTTGTAATCAGTAAGATATTGAAAGGTTATAGGTTTATGTATATAGAGTTTCTTTGAAATAATTATTAGAATATTGTAACAAATTGAATAGTTGAAAAGAAAGAGAAAATATGATTGTTGAAGGAACCTAAAGTGATGTTATTGTCTTTTGTGAATGATGATAACTTTTAGAGATTCTAAGTTGAGGATTAATTAGCAATGCGAGCTTTTAGAGTAACTAGCAATTTTGAAATGTAATTCTCTTTTGTATTTTTCTAATTTCTAGTATACTAACTATTTTTGGAACAATTGTGGCCTGAAAGCAATTTGGAGAGGAAGAGTAATTAGGAATGTGAACTTTTAGAGAATCTTAGAACACAGTGGCACCATGGCTGCTATGGCGGATACACATGGCAGTTTTTGGGTTTGCTGCAATGGTAAATATCGTCCAATATGGGGTTTTTCCGCCATAATCCGCTATAACGCCGCAAAGCGGCCATTATGGCGGGGTTTTGCCTCTCTGCTGTGGACCACCATCCGCCATGGACAATATTGTCTTAGCAGAGGATTAATTAACAATGAGAACTTTTAGAATAGTTGGCAATTTGGAAATGGTAAGTCTCTTTTGTATTGATCCAGTTTCTAGTGTACTAACTATTTCTTGTGAAGTGCTTTCAACCTTGGCTTGAAAGAAATTAGCAGAGGAGTAATTAGCAATGAGAACTTTTAGAGATTCTGTGAAGCAGAACTATACAAGAGAATGATTATATTTAAAGCTATCCATAAGATCTATAGAAATTTGTGGTAATCAAGTAGATTAGGATCAAAGGTTAGTTAACAGCTTAGTTAATGATTGTTTATGATGGTTTGGTGATATCAATATTCTAGTTACAGATGAACTGGCTAATGTGCCACTTAATTACCTTAGTTCTGTTCATCTTGTTTTATGGACATGTCTAATGATGACTTGTTTTAATTTTGGTCATCATTCAATGTGAATGATAGATAATGTGAATTGTTACAAACTGATATTGGTATTTGCATGGTATAAAGATGATATCATTTTGTGTTTATAATTTATGCCATAAAACTTTACCTACCTTTTTGAGTTGAAAGTGATTTGTAGTTGTTAAATGACTTATCTATCTCAGTTCTGTTTGTTTTCTATTTTTGCTTATGTTATTAGTAGATACCTCAATAGTAAGATTGATTGATTTTTCAGTTAAGTGCATAAACACCACATAGGAGAAGTATTGTGCATATTCCATAGAAATATTGAGTCAACTATCAATTTGGACTGTAAGTTGGAGCTAAAATCAATTGCGCTGCTAGCTCATAATGTTGAGTACAATCTAAAGGTACATTGTTCTTTTAAATTTGATTTCCACCTACAAATTGCAAATAGTTGAATGAGAATTTTATCAGTTTATGTCATTGTAATAGTTTATGTGTCACTTGAGTTGAGTCCCTCTGCAGTTTGTATACTTTTTCCAACCATTTTTGTTCTTTCAGAATTTATATAAACATAAAAATAAAGTTATAAACTCAATAGTATTTCTTCCTTAAAAAGAAATCAGGAGTTTTACAAATAATGCTCTAATGATTTTTTTTTGTTTGCTTTTTCTAATTAGATGAACTTATTTGTCAACCTGCTATTATTCTTTTGAAGAGTTTATTGATTAACTCCATCAATGAGATATATTGAATAAAAGTGTCAGCATGTGCATAAAGTATATAAGTATATAAGTAATTTATGAATATGTACCATTACAACAACTAATATGTCAACAGTTTGGGTTACTTGAAGTTTTGATTCAAACCAAAGTTTACTCATGCTTATAGTTTAAAAAATAATTACCCGCACCCATACCCGCTTATTTTAGTGGGTAATTACCCGAGTCCATGTCCGTCTCCATTTTATGGATTTTTATCCTATGTGTTGTGGATATTTTGTGCAGAAACCCACTAGGAATGACTCAAATTGCCTATCTAGCTCTTCGATATGGTTTTTATTTTCAAATTCATCCCCACACATTTTCTTTGACAAATTGTTACAAGATTAATGATTGTCTTCCAACAATTTTGTTGCTGTCAAACACTTTGTGACATGCTAACAAAAGCAAATAATCTGTTGACGATAATTTATACGGTTTGAATATGTTAATAATCAACACTCAGATAGGAAATATAAAACTATTCAAGCAATGCTTTGGATTTTCAATTGACAATGCTGATAATAATATCAAAATGTATCTCATATTGCATGAAAACTACTACCTATGAAGTGCAGAAAATTTTCAAGTCTGCACCCAGTTACACAATTTCCATCACAGTACTTCTACTACATGCTTGGCCTTTATTTGTGGTATCCTACAACAACTTGATAAGCAATGAGAATTCCTTCAATACTTCTCTTTCAACTTGTGTACGTTAACCTTATTCAAGGCAACCTAATAATATTCATGCAATTCCTGTAAACATTAACACACAGCTAAGTCACTTAGTATAAAATTTAATTTAAGAAACTGCATGTACGAAACATATACTGGTAGAATTTTAATAATAGAAAAGTAGAATTACCTCAAAAATACAAATGTACTAGATGTATGAATCACTGGCAAGCAAAATTCCATTATGTGGGACACTTAAATCCTTCTGGTGGATGTTTGCCACAATCGACTAGAAGCTGAAGAGCAATGGGTAAAACAATGTTTACATTGAGAAGCTTGAGCTTGATAGTGCTGCAGAGACACACAGCAGCATCTAAATCCGCTAGTCCTTGAATCAATGGGCAACATGTCTGTTTAGCACTACCACCAATACCAATATGTATGATTCCACCAAGTACATCAACACATGCACCCAATTTCAAAGCATCAATAGGGCACGTTGGTTGTGCTGGTGGTGGACACGGTGATCCAATAGGTGGTTTTGGAGTAGGAGGTGTAATAACTGGCGGTGTTGGTGTTGGCGGAGTAATAACTGGTGGTTTTGGTGTTGGTGGTGTAATCACTGGTGGTGTGGGTGGAGTAGTTGTTGGCGGTTTTGGAGTTGGAGGTGTAATAACTGGCGGTGTCGGTGTTGGCGGAGTAATAACTGGTGGTGTTGGTGTTGGTGGTGTAATCACCGGTGGTGTGGGTGGAGTAGTTGTTGGCGGTTTTGGAGTTGGAGGTGTAATAACTGGCGGTGTTGGTGTTGGCGGAGTAATAACGGGTGGTTTTGGTGTTGGTGGTGTAATCACTGGTGGTGTGGGTGGAGTAGTTGTTGGCGGTTTTGGAGTTGGAGGTGTAATAACTGGCGGTGTTGGTGTCGGCGGAGTAATAACGGGTGGTGTTGGTGGTGTAACCACTGGTGGTGTGGGTGGAGTACTTGTTGGCGGTTTTGGAGTTGGAGGTGTAATAACTGGCGGTGTTGGTGTCGGCGGAGTAATAACGGGTGGTGTTGGTGTTGGTGGTGTAATCACTGGTGGTGTGGGTGGAGTAGTTGGTGGTTTTGGAGTTGGAGGTGTAATAACTGGCGGTGTCGGTGTTGGTGGACTAATAACTGGTGGTTTTGGTGTTGGTGGTGTAATCGCTGGTGGTGTGGGTGGAGTAGTTGTTGGCGGTTTCGGAGTTGGAGGTGTAATAACTGGCGGTGTTGGTGTTGGCGGACTAATAACTGGTGGTTTTGGTGTTGGTGGTGTAATCACTGGTGGTGTGGGTGGAGTAGTTGTTGGCGGTTTTGGAGTAGGAGGTGTAATAATTGGCGGTGTTGGTGTTGGCGGAGTAATAACTGGTGGTTTTGGTGTTGGTGGTGTAATCACTGGTGGTGTGGGTGGAGTAGTTGTTGGCGGTTTTGGAGTTGGAGGTGTAATAACTGGCGGTGTTGGTGTTGGGGGACTAATAACGGGTGGTTTTGGTGTTGGTGGTGTAATCACTGGTGGTGTGGGTGGAGTAGTTGGCGGTTTTGGAGTTGGAGGTGTAATAATTGGCGGTGTTGGTGTTGGCGGACTAATAACTGGTGGTTTTGGTGTTGGTGGTGTAATCACTGGTGGTGTGGGTGGAGTAGTTGTTGGCGGTTTTGGAGTTGGAGGTGTAATAACTGGCGGTGTTGGTGTTGGCGGAGTAATAACTGGTGGTGTTGGTGTTGGTGGTGTAATCACTGGTGGTGTGGGTGGAGTAGTTGTTGGCGGTTTTGGAGTTGGAGGTGTAATAACTGGCGGAGTTGGTGTTGGCGGAGTAATAACGGGTGGTGTTGGTGTTGGTGGTGTAATCACTGGTGGTGTGGGTGGAGTAGTTGTTGGCGGTTTTGGAGTTGGAGGTGTAATAACTGGCGGTGTTGGTGTCGGCGGACTAATAACTGGTGGTTTTGGTGTTGGTGGTGTGGGTGGAGTAGTTGGCGGTTTTGGAGAAGGAGGTGTAATAATTGGCGGTGTTGGTGTTGGCGGAGTAATAACTGGTGGTGTTGGTGTTGGTGGTGTAATCACTGGTGGTGTGGGTGGAGTAGTTGTTGGCGGTTTTGGAGTTGGAGGTGTAATAATTGGCGGCGTTGGTGTTGGCGGAGTAATAACTGGTGGTTTTGGTGTTGGTGGTGTAATCACTGGTGGTGTGGGTGGAGTAGTTGTTGGCGGTTTTGGAGTTGGAGGTGTAATAACAGGCGGTGTTGGTGTCGGCGGAGTAATAACGGGTGGTGTTGGTGTCGGCGGTGTAATCACTGGCGGTGTAGGTGGAGTAGTTGTTGGCGGTTTTGGAGTTGGAGGTGTAATAACTGGAGGTGTCGGTGTTGGCGGACTAATAACTGGTGGTTTTGGTGTTGGTGGTGTAATCACTGGTGGTGTGGGTGGAGTAGTTGTTGGCGGTTTTGGAGATGGAGGTGTAATAATTGGCGGTGTTGGTGTTGGCGGAGTAATAATTGGTGGTGTTGGTGTTGGTGGTGTAATCACTGGTGGTGTGGGTGGAGTAGTTGTTGGCGGTTTTGGAGTTGGAGGTGTAATAATTGGCGGTGTTGGTGTTGGCGGAGTAATAACCGGTGGTTTTGGTGTTGGTGGTGTAATCACTGGTGGTGTGGGTGGAGTAGTTGTTGGCGGTTTTGGAGTTGGAGGTGTAATAATTGGCGGACTAATAACTGGTGGTTTTGGTGTTGGTGGTGTAATCACTGGTGGTGTGGGTGGAGTAGTTGTTGGCGGTTTTGGAGTTGGAGGTGTAATAATTGGCGGTGTTGGTGTTGGCGGAGTAATAACTGGTGGTGTTGGTGTTGGTGGTGTAATCACTGGTGGTGTGGGTGGAGTAGTTGTTGGCGGTTTTGGAGTTGGAGGTATAATAACTGGCGGTGTTGGTGTTGGCGGAGTAATAATGGGTGGTTTTGGTGTTGGTGGTGTAATCACTGGTGGTGTGGGTGGAGTAGTTGTTGGCGGTTTTGGAGTTGGAGGTGTAATAACTGGCGGTGTTGGTGTCGGCGGAGTAATAACGGGTGGTGTTGGTGTTGGTGGTGTGGGTGGAGTACTTGTTGGCGGTTTTGGAGTTGGAGGTGTAATAACTGGCGGTGTTGGTGTCGGAGGAGTAATAACTGGTGGTGTTGGTGTTGGTGGTGTAATCACTGGTGGTGTGGGTGGAGTAGTTGGTGGTTTTGGAGTTGGAGGTGTAATAACTGGCGGTGTTGGTGGACTAATAACTGGTGGTTTTGGTGTTGGTGGTGTAATCACTGGTGGTGTGGGTGGAGTAGTTGTTGGCGGTTTTGGAGTTGGAGGTGTAATAATTGGCGGTGTTGGTGTTGGCGGACTAATAACTGGTGGTTTTGGTGTTGGTGGTGTAATCACTGGTGGTGTGGGTGGAGTAGTTGTTGGCGGTTTTGGAGTTGGAGGTGTAATAACTGGCGGTGTTGGTGTTGGCGGACTAATAACTGGTGGTTTTGGTGTTGGTGGTGTAATCACTGGTGGTGTGGGTGGAGTAGTTGTTGGCGGTTTTGGAGTTGGAGGTGTAATAACTGGCGGTGTTGGTGTTGGCGGAGTAATAACTGGTGGTTTTGGTGTTGGTGGTGTGGGTGGAGTAGTTGTTGGCGGTTTTGGAGTTGGAGGTGTAATAATTGGCGGTGTTGGTGTTGGCGGAGTAATAACGGGTGGTTTTGGTGTTGGTGGTGTAATCACTGGTGGTGTGGGTGGAGTAGTTGTTGGCGGTTTTGGAGTTGGAGGTGTAATAATTGGCGGTGTTGGTGTCGGCGGAGTATTAACGGGTGGTGTTGGTGTTGGTGGAGTAGTTGTTGGCGGTTTTGGAGTTGGAGGTGTAATAACTGGCGGTGTTGGTGTCGGCGGAGTAATAGTGGGTGGTGTTGGTGTTGGTGGTGTGGGTGGAGTAGTTGTTGGCGGTTTTGGAGTTGGAGGTGTAATAATTGGAGGTGTTGGTGTTGGCGGACTAATAACCGGTGGTTTTGGTGTTGGTGGTGTAATCACTGGTGGTGTGGGTGGAGTAGTTGTTGGCGGTTTTGGAGATGGAGGTGTAATAATTGGCGGTGTTGGTGTTGGCGGAGTAATAACTGGTGGTGTTGGTGTCGGTGGTGTAATCACTGGTGGTGTGGGTGGAGTAGATGTTGGCGGTTTTGGAGTTGGAGGTGTAATAATTGGCGGTGTTGGTGTTGGCGGACTAATAACTGGTGGTTTTGGTGTTGGTGGTGTAATCACTGGTGGTGTGGGTGGAGTAGTTGTTGGCGGTTTTGGAGTTGGAGGTGTAATAATTGGTGGTGTTGGTGTTGGCGGACTAATAACTGGTGGTTTTGGTGTTGGTGGTGTAATCACTGGTGGTGTGGGTGGAGTAGTTGTTGGCGGTTTTGGAGTTGGAGGTGTAATAATTGGCGGTGTTGGTGTTGGCGGAGTAATAACTGGTGGTGTTGGTGTTGGTGGTGTAATCACTGGTGGTGTGGGTGGAGTAGTTGTTGGCGGTTTTGGAGTTGGAGGTGTAATAACTGGCGGTGTTGGTGTTGGCGGAGTAATAACGGGTGGTGTGGGTGGAGTAGTTGTTGGCGGTTTTGGAGTTGGAGGTGTAATAACTGGCGGTTTTGGAGTTGGAGGTGTAATAACTGGCGGTGTTGGTGTCGGCGGAGTAATAACTGGTGGTGTTGGTGTCGGTGGTGTTATCACTGGTGGTGTGGGTGGAGTAGTTGTTGGCGGTTTTGGAGTTGGAGGTGTAATAACTGGCGGTGTTGGTGTCGGCGGAGTAATAACGGGTGGTGTTGGTGGTGTAATCACTGGTGGTGTGGGTGGAGTAGTTGTTGGCGGTTTTGGAGTTGGAGGTGTAATAACTGGCGGTGTTGGTGTCGGCGGAGTAATAACTGGTGGTGTTGGTGTTGGTGGTGTAATCACTGGTGGTGTGGGTGGAGTAGTTGTTGGCGGTTTTGGAGTTGGAGGTGTAATAACTGGTGGTGTTGGTGTTGGTGGAGTAATAACTGGTGGTTTTGGTGTTGGTGGTGTAATCACTGGTGGTGTGGGTGGAGTAGTTGTTGGCGGTTTTGGAGTTGGAGGTGTAATAACTGGCGGTGTTGGCGTTGGCGGAGTATTAACCGGTGGTGTTGGTGTTGGTGGTGTAATCACTGGTGGTGTGGGTGGAGTAGTTGTTGGCGGTTTTGGAGTTGGAGGTGTAATAACTGGCGGTGTTGGTGATGGCGGAGTAATAACGGGTGGTGTTGGTGGTGTAATGACTGGTGGTGTGGGTGGAGTAGTAGTTGGCGGTTTTGGAGTTGGAGGTGTAATAACTGGCGGTGTTGGTGTCGGCGGAGTAATAACAGGTGGTGTTGGTGTTGGTGGTGTGGGTGGAGTAGTTGTTGGCGGTTTTGGAGTTGGAGGTGTAATAACTGGCGGTGTTGGTGTCGGCGGAGTAATAACGGGTGGTGTTGGTGTTGGCGGTGTAATCACTGGCGGTGTTGGTGGAGTAGTTGTTGGCGGTTTTGGAGTTGGAGGTGTAATAACTGGAGGTGTTGGTGTTGGCGGACTAATAACAGGTGGTTTTGGTGTTGGTGGTGTAATCACTGGTGGTGTGGGTGGAGTAGTTGTTGGCGGTTTTGGAGTTGGAGGTGTAATAATTGGTGGTGTTGGTGTTGGCGGAGTAATAACGGGTGGTGTTGGTGTTGGTGGTGTTATCACTGGTGGTGTGGGTGGAGTAGTTGTTGGCGGTTTTGGAGTTGGAGGTGTAATAACTGGCGGTGTTGGTGTCGGCGGAGTAATAACTGGTGGTGTTGGTGTTGGTGGTGTTATCACTGGTGGTGTGGGTGGAGTAGTTGTTGGCGGTTTTGGAGTTGGAGGTGTAATAACTGGCGGTGTTGGTGTCGGCGGAGTAATAACGGGTGGTGTTGGTGGTGTAATCACTGGTGGTGTGGGTGGAGTAGTTGTTGGCGGTTTTGGAGTTGGAGGTGTAATAACTGGCGGTGTTGGTGTTGGCGGAGTAATAACTGGTGGTGTTGGTGTTGGTGGTGTAATCACTGGTGGTGTGGGTGGAGTAGTTGTTGGCGGTTTTGGAGTTGGAGGTGTAATAACTGGCGGTGTTGGTGTCGGCGGAGTAATAACGGGTGGTGTTGGTGTTGGTGGTGTAATCACTGGTGGTGTGGGTGGAGTAGTTGTCGGCGGTTTTGGAGTTGGAGGTGTAATAACTGGCGGTGTTGGTGTCGGCGGAGTAATAACTGGTGGTGTTGGTGTTGGTGGTGTAATCACTGGTGGTGTGGGTGGAGTAGTTGTTGGCGGTTTTGGAGTTGGAGGTGTAATAATTGGCGGTGTTGGTGTTGGCGGAGTAATAACGGGTGGTGTCGGTGTTGGTGGTGTAATCACTGGTGGTGTGGGTGGAGTAGTTGTTGGCGGTTTTGGAGTTGGAGGTGTAATAACTGGCGGTGTTGGTGTTGGTGTCGGCGGAGTAATAACGGGTGGTGTCGGTGTTGGTGGTGTAATCACTGGTGGTGTGGGTGGAGTAGTTGTTGGCGGTTTTGGAGTTGGAGGTGTAATAACTGGCGGTGTTGGTGTTGGTGTCGGCGGAGTAATAACGGGTGGTGTCGGTGTTGGTGGTGTAATCACTGGTGGTGTGGGTGGAGTAGTTGTTGGCGGTTTTGGAGTTGGAGGTGTAATAACTGGCGGTGTTGGTGTTGGCGGAGTAATAACGGGTGGTGTTGGTGTTGGTGGTGTAATCACTGGTGGTGTGGGTGGAGTAGTTGTTGGCGGTTTTGGAGTTGGAGGTGTAATAATTGGCGGTGTTGGTGTCGGCGGAGTAATAACGGGTGGTGTTGGTGTTGGTGTTGGTGGTGTAATCACTGGTGGTGTGGGTGGAGTAGTTGTTGGCGGTTTTGGAGTTGGAGGTGTAATAACTGGCGGTGTTGGTGTCGGCGGAGTAATAACGGGTGGTGTTGGTGTTGGTGGTGTAATCACTGGTGGTGTGGGTGGAGTAGTTGGTGGTTTTGGAGTTGGAGGTGTAATAACTGGCGGTGTTGGTGGACTAATAACTGGTGGTTTTGGTGTTGGTGGTGTAATCACTGGTGGTGTGGGTGGAGTAGTTGTTGGCGGTTTTGGAGTTGGAGGTGTAATAACTGGCGGTGTTGGTGTTGGCGGAGTAATAACTGGTGGTTTTGGTGTTGGTGGTGTAATCACTGGTGGTGTGGGTGGAGTAGTTGTTGGCGGTTTTGGAGTTGGAGGTGTAATAATTGGCGGTGTTGGTGTTGGCGGACTAATAACTGGTGGTTTTGGTGTTGGTGGTGTAATCACTGGTGGTGTGGGTGGAGTAGTTGTTGGCGGTTTTGGAGATGGAGGTGTAATAATTGGCGGTGTTGGTGTTGGCGGAGTAATAACTGGTGGTGTGGGTGGAGTAGTTGTTGGCGGTTTTGGAGTTGGAGGTGTAATAACTGGCGGTGTTGGTGTCGGCGGAGTAATAACTGGTGGTGTTGGTGTTGGTGGTGTAATCACTGGTGGTGTGGGTGGAGTAGTTGGTGGTTTTGGAGTTGGAGGTGTAATAACTGGCGGTGTTGGTGTTGGTGGACTAATAACTGGTGGTTTTGGTGTTGGTGGTGTAATCACTGGTGGTGTGGGTGGAGTAGTTGTTGGCGGTTTTGGAGTTGGAGGTGTAATAATTGGCGGTGTTGGTGTTGGCGGACTAATAACTGGCGGTTTTGGTGGAGTAGTTGTTGGCGGTTTTGGTGTTGGTGGCGTAACCACTGGCGGTGTTGGTGTTGGCGGTGTAATCACTGGCGGTGTTGGTGTTGGCGGTGTAATCACTGGCGGTGTTGGTGGAGTAGTTGTTGGCGGTTTGGGAGTTGGTGGCGTAACCACCGGCGGTGTTGGTGTCGGTGGTGTAATCACTGGCGGTGTGGGTGGAGTAGTTGTTGGCGGTTTGGGAGTTGGTGGCGTAACCACCGGCGGTGTTGGTGTCGGTGGTGTAATCACTGGCGGTGTTGGTGGAGTAGTTGTTGGCGGTTTTGGTGTTGGCGGCGTAACCACCGGAGGTGTTGGTGGTGTAATCACTGGCGGTGTTGGTGTTGGCGGCGTAGTCACTGGCGGTGTTGGTGGAGGAGTTTTTGGTGGCGTAATCACCGGTGGTTTAGGACCATGAGGTGGTTTCACAATAGGTGGCGGATGTTTTGGTACATATGGTGGGCGCACTGTTGGGGGTTTTGGAACGTGAGGAGGATGTACTGTTGGAGGTTTAGGATGATGAGGAGGATGTACTGTTGGAGGTTTAGGATGATGAGGAGGGTATGGAACATGTGGTGGTTTTGGTGATGGAGCAGGAGGATGATGCTTTGGTGGTTTTTCGACTGGGTGTTTAACAACAGGAGTGTGGTGCGTTGGTGGCTTAGGAGATGGTGTAGGACAATAAGGAGCAGCAAGAACATTGAGTAAGGTACTCAAGTTTAAGAAAAGGATTAAAACATTGGCTATAGCATAGTTAGCCATGTTTCAAAGATTGTACTACTGCTGCATGCTACTACTGCTTCACACTCCACTTACATTAAATGGGTGAGTTAGGATGTTTATGTAGTGTGAAAAAAATGTTGAAATTTTGATAAATCTTTGTCGTGGGTCACATTCAACACTGTGTTACACCAATCAATGTAGCTAAATAACAATACTGTAACTTGGCACTATACTGTTCATTGTTTTATATTGAATTAGTTACTTGGACCGACATAAAAATCACTGACTTGGAATTATATCATTCAATGTATTGTTTTCAGAGGGTAAATTGTTGTTTTTTTAGTCAAATATGTTTAGTCTTTAAAAAAAATCTTATATTTTTACCTTATAAGCAATATGATTGTATATCTGTCATAACTTTCTTAACTTATATATGCCATATGGTTGTGCATTTCATCAAGGGTGTAAAAGGACTAATATAGTAGTGTTACCATTCACATGTTTCCAAAACCAACAACTTAATTAAGGTTAATAAATTGACTTAGGTCTAATTAACAATCTTTAACACATGTATTTAAATAATCATGGATTGGGATAGTTTTTCTTGAATCATAGAGAGAAACAGCTTATGATCCCATCAGCTCAAAGGTGACATAAAAGGGGCATAAGATGGAACAGACGGGCGTGATAAGTCCATGTCTATCACATGCCAACCGCTGGCAAGGCCGCGGAAGGAAACCACTCCTCCATTTTAAGAAGAACATATCTGCCTAAGCGCACATATTTAGCACTCATATATATTGAGAAGTTGAGGAAAAACTATTTTCTTACCCACGATACGCCCCACTAACAATGAGTATAAACATTCCACTTTAATATCTCAATTTGTGTTCAAATAATATTTTCTTTTTAAAACTTTACTTTAACTTTTTACATAATCACCATTATAAACACATAAACAACATGAAGCAATTCTACTTAAAATAAGAGAGTTGTTCTTTCCATTCTTATATATTCTCTTCCACCATCGTAAAAAGTGGTAATTACTTTAACGTTTAGACATGTATCTTCAGACGCATTTAAAATTACCAACAAAGACATTACAAGTAAGACACTCTTATTTTGCCTTGAAAAAAAAATCCAGAGATGCATATTTAAATTTCAAAGATGTAACTCCGTAACATTCACATAAACATTGATGTGTAAGGCATAACTAAGTACGTCGGATCTGAGATCAACTCTTTGCATCTAAAATTGAGCATTTACTTGTAACCCAAAAAAAAATTTTTTTGGGCATTTACTTCAAAATCTGATGAATTAATTATAGACATTAAATTAAAAGGGGAATAGATCTACCGAGACAAAAATCAATGGAAAGTCTTGAAAATACCACAAAATTAAATAAATAATCTATTGGGAAAATTCCTGAGAATATCATTGCCTCTTTTGGTTAAGGACCAAGTTTCATAACTTAGAGATTTGATATTTTAATGAAATTCTGATTGAGTTAACATCGAGAAAGGTTTCTAAACCATAAGATAAGAGAAATAAAATCACTTAATTGTATGAACATTTTCGGGAAAATGTTGACTGTAGTAAGCATGCATGTGAGACACAGCACAAAATGCCAAGAACTCTGGTATGCAGTGAACTTTACGGAGATACTTTTTTAAAACTTAGAGATGCATTTTAAATATTTTTTAAATAAAATAGGGTGTCTCACTTGTAACGTCTTTGTTAATGTGATTTTAGGTGTGTTCGAAAAATACGTCTTCAGAAATAAATATAACATTTTCGAATTTTTAAGAGGGTGAGTTCGAGCAACCTCTAAAATAATACTTATCCTTTCAGTTTTATAAGTGGGCTGAAATTAGCATTAGTCCCTATCTAATTTAACCTAATCAGAAAATAAATAAGATACAACTTATGCAATAAAACTCTAAAGTCACTTATGATTAATAATAACAATAACAGCTTACAGTATAATCTAGTTTAAGAATCTTATCATATATATATATATTTGTAAGTAATCACATTTTTAGTGACCAGAATCTATCCATTTTTGGAATGTTTACAGCGCATGTAGAAAGAGAAACGGAGTTTAGTCTAATAATGTCTTATATGCATTTAGATGTCGGTAATATCTTAACCTTTATATGTTTCAAGATGTCGGCTGGGAACTTCTTCCTCAATGATGAGTTGGTTTCCATATGCAACATTGTCAGTGAAGTCATTTTCTTAGTAAAAACAAGTCCAGTGAAGTTGAAAACTTTGAATCCAGGTATCTAAAAGTGACAACGACGATAACATTAACAGAGTGTATAGATAAGAACTAGATTCGTAAAGCTAGCTAGATGCATCTCTCTAAATATCAAAATATGGCCATGAATATGAAACCTAGCATAAGGTTCATTTTAGAAACGTATATGTACAATTTAAATTTTAAGTTTGAGTTTAATGGACTAATTCATATGAGATTTTCATATAATAAAGATAATAGTTTGAAAGGTTTTTAAAAAAGTGTATTAAAGTATAAGTTGTAATTCAATTTTAAATACGCATTCGAAAATAGATTTAGAAACTTGAAACTGTTAAAAATGAAAAGTGATAAGGTCATGTTCTAAAAGGGTCACCATAGATTAGAATTCAAAGAAAGGCAAATCTACGTTTAAATAACTATTTTGTAAGCGTAAAAATAAAATAAAATCAGTTAAGGTAATTTCTAGTTAGTAGAAAACAAAGACAAGATATGTCTTATACATGCAATCATAATCAGATTTGGGTCCGTGTAATTTGTCCCGATGCACATGGTCTTCAAAAAAGACAATTTCTCATCCCATCCTTATTATATGAGACGCACATCTGAAAATTCGAAAATGTCTCTTGGATGAATTCAGAGATAAATCTTCAAACACACTAAATATAATTTTTTGGCCAAATTTAGTTTGGAGATGCATCTCCGAAAACACCCTTAGGGTAAACTCAGACATGCATCTCCAAAGTCACCTTTTTATGAATGACAATTTTTTTTACTCCTCAGTGATATTTTTGGAGATGTATTTCCGATAATGTCTAACAGAAATTTGAGTCTATGACCACTTTGCATGATCATCTTCTTCACTCTTTAAAACTCTTCCAAGTTCTCCATAACCAAAAAATCTTTGAAAAAAAATCTCATTACCAATCAACTTTTCGATTCAAAATAAGATTTTGTGCGTTTTAACACATCAAATGGAGTATCTTAAACTGCAATTTAAGGTAAAAATTCCTTATTTCATTCCTCATTATTTGCATTGATCTTTGTTTTGAGCTGAAAAAACGTTCGCTTTGTGTGAAAATACATTTTCGAACTCACCTACAATTTTTTAGATATGTAATTTCTAATTCAACTGTTATTGGTTTTTTTATATTTAATTTTCATGTTTTACTTCTTATTAGATATGGTTCACCCGAATATGTTTCCCAAAATTGTACATAACGATGTAAAACAAGATGTAGCGAAGGATAATGTTAAACCAGCTGAAGTTAAACAAGATATTAAACCGGAAAAGTGAAGTATGATGTTAGTGATAGAGATAGACGTTGGTCAGCGTTTCATAAATGAACAACTGTATACTGCCTGCGAACATATGCTTCAATAGATTCGCATGGTAGCCAGGAATTTGGAGTTTGACATTGTAATTGGAAGGAATGACAATGATTCAAATAAAAGACAAGCATTTGTAACCATAAGATGCGAGAGAAGTGGCACATATGTTCCCCCGATTGAAAGTTGAAACGTGATGACACTGGAACGAGAAAGTGTGGTTGTCCGTTTAAAGTGCGTGAATATTGTAGTGTGGATGAGATGTGAAAATTTAATGTGCTTTATGGAATACATAACCATGACTTGCAAACAAAGTTAAGCAGTTATCCTATTGTATGTCGTCTTAAATCGGAGGACAAGGAAATTGTTTCGAACACGTCTTTAATCAGAGTGGCGCCGAAAAATATACTTGCAAATTTGAAACAGAAACACTCAAAAAGTGTTTCAAATATCAAACAGGTATACAATCATTGTGATAGAAACAACATAGTGATAAGGGGTCCAAGATCTGAAATGCAACAACTTTTAAAACTTATGGATGACAACTACTATGTTTCTAAGTACGCAGTATGTGATGATAAAGTCATTGTTCATGATATTTTATGGACTCATCCCGAAAGTATCAAGTTGGTCAACATATTTTCTAATGTCCTCATTATTGATGCAACATACAAGACCAACAAGTATAAGTTTTCACTTCTTGAAATTGTTAGTGTTACTTCTACGAAGAAGACTTTTTTGGTGGGATTTTTATTTTTGGAATCCGGAAAAGAGGTCAATGTTACATGGGCCTTGGAAGTGTGCAAGACTTTGTTGAAGGATCAAGAAAACATGTCGATTCAAAATCAATCAACTTTTCGATTCAAAATAAGATTTTGTGCGCTTTAACACATCAAATGGAGCATCATAAACTGCAATTTAAGGTAAAGTTCCCTCATTCCATCCCTCAATATTTGCATTGATCTTTATTTTGAACTGAAAAACGTCAGCTTTGTGTGGAAATACATTTCCGAATTCACCTACAATTTTTCAGATATGTATTTATGAATTCAACTGTTATCGGTTTTTTAAAATTTTCATGTTTTACTTCTTATTAGATATGGTTCACC